TGTTGGTTTTTTTTTAGGATAGAGAATGTTTGTTGGCAGCAGAGATTGAATGTTATACATACATACATATATATATTATATATATAGAGAGAGAGAGAAGAGAGAGAGAGAGAGAGAGAGAGAGAGAGAGAGAGAGAGAGAGAGAGAGAGAGAGAGAGAGAGAGAGAGAGAGAAAGAAAGATAATTGTGGGAGCAATCTGCCAGAGTATATTGGGAGAATGGGATCAAGGTTACAGGTAGATGACTTGGTTTTGGCAAATCAGAGACTGAGAGTAAAGAAGAAAGAAAATAGGGATTGATATCAAGGGATTTTTGAGATATAGAATGTGGTAGAAAAAATAAATTCCATTCAAGATAACTACAAAAGCTATAAAATACTTGTTAGAATATATGCTAAGATTCACCTAAGGAGTATATATAAATCCAACTATAAAAAACTTTGCAGAAATAAAGACATAACCAAATAATTGGAGAAACATTAATTGTTCATGGTTAAGTTGAACCAATATAATAAAAATGACTGTGCTATCTAAATTTATGATTAACATACTGTACCCTTCAAACTCCCAAATAATATAGTGTTAGAAAAAATGAAATTCACATAGAGGAATGAAAGGTTAAGAATTTCAAGGGTATAAAAAAAAGTGGGAAGTCTTTCAGTAACAGATCTCAAACTACTTCAAAGAAGTAATCAATAAAACGAGTTGATTCTAGTTTGGAAAAAAAAGTCAGTCAGTGGATCAGATTATGTTTATAACACACAAAACAAGCATAGCATTCAGCAAACTCAAAAAACCCAGTTGCTGGAGTAAGGAGTCATTATTTGACATAAACTGCTGGGAAAATTAGTATTAATCTGGAAGAACTTAGCTTAGGCCAACATTTTGTACTGCAGAGCAAGATAAGTTCCAAATGGATACATGATCTATATGTACACAAAGTGACATCATAAACAAATTAGAGTACCAATGCAGAAATTACTTTTCAGTATATGGAGAGAGGAAGAGTTTATGACTCTATAAGTAATAGAGATGATCATAAAAGATAAAATTGACAATTTTGATTTAATAAAATTAAAATTTTTTTGCATAAACTTCATGTACTAAAAATGAGAATGGAAAGAAGTAACATGGAAAAATATTTGAACACATTCCATATCTTGGATATGAAAAGAACTGATTTAAATTTATAAGATTAAAAGCCATTCTCCAATGGAGAAATGGTCAAAGGTATTAATAGGGGGTTTCCAAAGGAAAAAATTTGAGCTTTCAACATGCATATGAAACAATGCTCAATGTCACTAATAATTAAGAGAAATTTGAATTAAAGTAACTTTGAGATTTTGCCTCCTATGAAACTGCAAAGATGACAAAAGAGAAATATGACATATTGTATGGGCTGTGTGAATACGGGTACTGAATACTATGTTGGTTGAACTGTGAATTGATCCAGCCATTTTGGAAAGACAACTATGCCCAGAAAATTACATTAAGGAATGGCTCAACAAAATGTAATGGAATATTTTATGCCATAAAACAAGATGAAATGGACAATTTCAGAGGCAACTGGTAAAACTTATATGAACTAAGTGATGCAGAGTGGAGAGAGCACAACCAGGAAAACAATTTATACAACATTATAGAGAAAAGCAACTTTGAACGACTTTAGAACTCTAATCAATGCAATGATAAACTATGAGTTCAAAAGAATTAAGATGGAAGACACTACCCATTTATTGACTAAGAAATTATGAACTTAAGATGGAGAGAGAAACATATATTTTCACATGTGACCAATGTAGGAGTTTATTTTGTGGGACTTATGCAGCAATCTATTAGAAGTTTTCATTCATTCATCTATTAAAATTGCTCAAAGAGGAGGGTGAGAGAAATTATTTTAAAAAAAATTCCTATGTTATACCACACTTATTTCAATACAATTTATTGCTGTGCAGTGGTATTGCTCTTAATTAAAACTCAGGCACTGGCTCACATTGCCAAAGAGCAATGATGAAAAAAATCCATTCTATTGTGCTACTAAATGATAAGTATTTCAGTGCATTGTTTAAATCAACTATTGATATTGCTGTTATCAGTAGTGAACGGGAAATATTGAATATTTTAAAAAGTATTAAAATAATGTGCCAGCTGCACATTATTTAAAGTGGATAGCATTTACATTTTTACAATCATTGTATTGCTAAGAAATAGGCTGTATAAAAAACAATTAAAAAGGGATGTAAAGTAGGGGAGAAGAGGGAGTTCCTAGTGAATGGCCCTTATTGGTAAACTTGAAGTCTTTTCCTGAAAAGGTAGGTGGCAGAGGTGGGATGTGAGACTTGGGAATATCTTATAGGGCGTACAACAGAGAATCAATTAGAGAGGAATAAATGGAGTGCCTTGCTATAGTGAGGACCCAGTTTGTAGTGAATCCTGTCGGGGGGGCCACATAAGCTCTTTTAATATCATTCAGCAGCACGGGAGTAGGAGCAGAGGAGAAGCATGATAGGAATAATCTACAAATGTGGCAGCTTCAGTTTAAATATTAGAATTCAATTCAGTGTGGTTTAGCAAACATATCTTGAAAGCCTATCATGTACCAGGCATCGTGCTAGATATTGAACTTTAAAATGTATCTGCTGAACGTATTTATGTGGTAGAAGCAGTCTTAGATCAGAGGATAAGTACAAGAGCATCTAATGAATCAGATGTTAAATTTTCATTTAGTTAAATTTGTAAATAAATGCTATACATTAACATTTATTGTCATATAAGGAACTTTTATTTAAAACTTTGAGCTTTTTTTTTTTTGTTTGTTTGTATCAGCTTAGAGAAATATCCCAAATCTGCATTTCATTGGATGAGTTTAAAGTTTGGAATGCCATCAGAATGCTGATACTGAAATATTTGCCAGAGATAACATTTAAAGAATTAAGTATATGTTGCCACACTGAAAAGCAGTCCTTTAGTTCCTGAATTAATTTACTCTGGGACTTTGAATTCTTCACATAAAATCTGTTTCCAAGCCTAATTATCCATACTATAGGAAAAAAAGGTTCCACAGAACCTTCTTCATTCATTTTATTGTCAACAGGGATAGCTATTAGTAATTCTTCAAATTATATTAATTGTTCACTTAAAATAATGTAAACCCTTGATGAGTTTGCTTTTATTAAATCACTTTATTTGCTAATGACTTACCAAGTTGACAGTGACCTTGAAGCTGATATTGGCAACATTTCTTGACATAAAGAGATTGGTGATTTAGAGTTATTAAGAATGCATCAATTTATTTTTCATTTTATGTTAGGATTTTTAAAAGGCCTTAATGTCATTATAGATAGGATATTTTACTTTTGAAAAATATGGGCTAATGAGTTAAGCAAGAGTAAATTTATTTTGTTTTTAATTCATTATGTTTGAAAATTGTTTAAAAAGAAGAATTGTTTTGTGTACGTGTATTGGGCTTGAAAATTATTAAGATTCTTAAAATCTTGATCTCACCATCAAGAAAGCAGACATATAATTTGGCTTCCTTCTGTCTTTCTTTGTTGCATATGGAGGCTTCTGGCACATTGGCTCCTTGAAAGTTTCCCCTGGCTAAAAAAAACCTTCATAGCAAGTTACTTTGATAAAGGTTTTATTTCAAAGATGTATACGGAACTGATTCAAATGTATGAGAAGAGCCATTCTCCAACTGATAAATGGTCAAGTGATATAAATAAGCAGTTCTTTAGGGACGAAGTCGAAGATGTCTTTAGTCAAAAAAAAATCTTCCAAATCACTAATAATTAGAGAAATGTAAAATGTGAAAGCCACTCTGAAGTTCTACCTCACACTTATCACACTGCCAAAGATGTCAAAAGGGGAAAATGACAAATGTTGCAGAGGGTTTTGGGAAAAGAAGTACTCTACTTTTGATGGAGCTGTGAATTGGTTCAGTCATTCTGAAAAGCAATTTGAAATTATACTCCCCAAATTACTACATTATGCATCTCCTTTGACCCCAAAATACTAACTGATGCCCCAAAGAGATTAAGGAAATGGGAGAAGGTCCTATGTATATGGAATATTCATAGCAGTCCTTTTTGTGGGGGCAAAAATACTGGAAACCAAGGAGGTGCCCATCAATTAGAGAAATGTAAATGGCTAATAGTATATGAATGTAATGGGATACCTTCGTGCTGTTAAGAGATTATTAAAGAGAAGGTTTCAGAGAATCCTGGAAAGACTCGTATGCATTCATAAAGAATAAAGTGAATATAAGGAGAAAAATTTATAGGGTGACAACACTGCAAAACCAAACAATTTTGAAAGACTTTGTAAGAGCAATGATCAAACGTGATTCCAGAGGCCGGATAATAAAGAATACCGGCCACCTCCTGACAGATATGTTAGAAAAATATGCAGAATAAGACACATATTTTTGGATCTGGCCAGCCTAGGAATTTGTTTTGCTTGACTGTGAATATTTGTTATAAGGGTTTTATTTTTTCTTCTCCTTTTGGTGGGGGGAAGGGAGGTAGAAGAGAGAAAAAAATAAATGCTTGATACTTGAAAAAAATTGAGCTAAAAATATTTCTTGAAGTAAGTTATGTAAACAAAAAGGAAAGTTAGCAGTTTCAAAATAGCTTGGTGATCAGTATTCAGCTCAAAAGCAGAGCTCGTAAGCCATTACCAATGTTAACTTTTACTAAACCAACCAGATCACACATTAATTCAGAGCAAAAGATGCTTAATCAAACAGCATAGAAAATTAAGCATATTAAAATTAAGAAAGATCTCCTGAGTACATATGCAGTTAGTTAGAAAACAAATATTTCTTAAGTGCTGACTGTGTGCTAGGTATTAGGAATATAAACCTCTAGTTGAAATGTAAAATAATTTTGAATTTCAAAGAATTGATACTTATTCATATTTAATATTTTAATTTTCTGCTGATTGAGGTGAAAGAAAGGCTTTGCCTATATATGAACAAACAGTCTTTATTTTATGTTTTAGGATGCTTCTGATTCAACTTTGAAATACAAAGGAATACATTTTGGCAACCAGTCAGGAAGACAAGATTTACCAGTCCTAGAAGGGCCTGGGCCTGGGGGAGTATGATATACTTCAGTAAGTAAACTAGAGCAGTCATTTCAGCTTAGCTTTTTATTATAGAATGCCAGTAATCCAGCTCCTTGGTTGTTCAGTTATGAAACACATCATGGAAGTCAAATGATTCATGAAGGGTAAATAGAGCCCTTTTAAGCATAAAATGAGAGAACTTAAAAGATCTATTTTTGATCATTAGAAGAACATTAGAAATGGGAATTAAAAAAATTTTAATTACATTTGGTTGTGGAATGCATGAGATTGAGTGGTGTTAAATTGGATATTCTGGGACATAACACATTAAAGGAATTAAAAGAGTACTTGGACCTTGGGCTTGCTGAAAAGTTGCATAGAATCTTTACTTTCCTGCAGTCATTCATTTACTTCCATGTTAGAAATGGATGACATCATCTTTTGGAGGAATTCAATTTATTAGCTACTCTCCTTTTGTCAGACAGACTTGTCCTAGGTTGTACAGTTGATTGTGGCAGAGCAAGCCTTAGTTAAAACAAAGGTCACAATCAAGAATAAGTTAAGAATAAAGGTAAAAATAAGATATTTATACTGTATGTATTATAACAGTTCTAACCTGGCCTGTTAAAAAAAGCTGTTGACTTGGGGACATGGGAAATGGGTAAAATTAAAAGCATCAGCTCTGGTGATTATATTTCTTAGAAGAATTTTACTGGTGTAAAGTAGTTGAAAAAACAGTAGGAGCAAAAGAGCCCAGTAGCCATCTCAGTAAGCAGGTATTTGAATCCGTTGTCTTGGGGAGAGTGGAAGAGCAAAGGAACATGCATTTATTCAGTGCCCGCTGTGTTAGGTGCTTTCCACATATCTCATTTGAGCCTCACTACAACTCTGGGAGGCAGGTGCTATTATAGTCCCCATTTTACCACTCAGGAAACCGAGACAAACAGGAATTAAGTGACTTGCCCGGGGTGACACAACCACTAAGTGTCTGAGGCTGGAATGGAATTTAGGTCTTCCGGACTCCAGACCCAGTGCTCTGTCCACTGTGCCGCCTAGCTGGAGACATGGAAGCCAAGAGCAGCAGAGCTTTAGGATGTAAGTTAATTTGTGAAGCAAAGAAGAAGGGTGAAAGATTATATGTAGGCAGGCAGCTCTGAAGCCTGAAGATCGGTGTTCCAATCCTGCCTCTGATACTGACTGACCCTGGGCAAGTCATTTAGTCACTTAGTGCTTTAGGGGGTTTTCTAAGACTATAACTTTCAATTCTTAGCTGTCACAAAAAGTGCTGCTGTAAATATTTTGGAGTATATGGGGATTTTTTTTTTCCTTAAAGATGGCTACCTTGGGTATAAATCCAGTCATGGAGTCTCTGGTTCAAAACATATGGGCATTTTAGTCACCGTATTTGCAGAGTTCCAAACTGTTTTCCAAAATGGTTGTTTTATTTCACAACTTCACTAACAATGTTATCATTTTTTTGTCATTTTTTGCCTATTTATAGAGTGTGAGGTGAAACCTGAGGGTTGTTTTAATGTGCATTTCTCTTATTTTTAGTAATTTGGAGCATTTTTTCACATGGTTGTGAATCCTTTGCACGTCTTCTGAGAACTGTTTATTAACATTCCTTCATCATTTATTTATGGAGAATAGTTATTTGTGTTCTGTGTATTTATTGTTTATGTATTTAAATAGCAAATCCTTATCACAGAAATTTGATACTTAGAATTTTGTGTCACCTTTACCATGCTGTTGACTCGTTTTTCATGATGTCTTGCATCACTCTTATTTCTCTTCCCAATTTTTCCTCTACCTCTCTTACTTGATTTCCAGAATCCTTTTTGAGCTCTTCCATGGTCGAGACCAATTCATATTTTTCTTGGAGGCTTTGGATGTAGGAGCTTTGGCTTTGTTGTCACTAAAGTAAGTTTCTGTAGTCAGAGGTTTGGTTTTTTTTTCCCATTTGCTCATTTTCCCAGCCTATTACTTTACTTTTTAATTCTTTGTTAAGGTAGGGCTCTGCTTCTAGTGTGGAGGGCAAATTATCCCAAGCTTCAAATGCAGCTGTTTTCAGAGATACTTCTGGGGACCTGTAAGTTTTCAGTTCTTCAAGGTGGTATGATCTAAGGACAGATGTTTACTGCTCTAGTGGCCCATGTTCTGGTCTGTGAGCAACCACAAACACTCTTTTCTGCCCTGGAACTTTGAAGAAGGTCCCCCCTCCATTGCTGCTGCAGCTCTGCTATGCTAGTGCTCCTTCTTGCCCTGGGCCTGCCACTCAGGACTGCGATAGAGTCCTGCCTCAGAGCTGGCAGAAAGACCCCAGTAATCTTCTTCTGACCAGTTGTTTGACCCCGTTACTGGCTGAGAGCTCCAGAGGCAGCTGCTGCTGCCTTCACTGCTGATTCAGTCACTCTCTCAGCCTGCTCTTCATTTATTGGGGCTAGGCCTGCACCAGACTGTGTGCCACTCACACTCGTGCAACAGCCCTTTTCTGCTGACTTTCTAAGTTGTCTTTGGTGTCTGTGGGCTGAGAGGTCTGGAAACTGCCACTGCTGCCAGTGATTCAGTTGCCTCAAGGCCTCCTCCAGGTTTGCTGGGGCTTGGGCTGTGCTGGTGTGGCCTGTGCACTCCTCTTTCACCCTGGTGCAATAGACCTTTCCTGCCGACCTTCCAAGTAGTCTTGGTTTGGAAATTTGATATACTCTGTCTTTTTTGGATTCTGCTTCTCTAGAATTTGTTTAGCATTTTTTTTTTTTTGGGTGAGGCAGTTGGGGTTAAGTGACTTGCCCAGAGTTAAACAGATAGTAAGTGTTTTGTGTCTGAGGCCAGATTTGAACCCAGGTCCTCCTGAATACAGGATTGATGCTCTATCCACTGCGCCACCTAGCTGTTCTATAGGCTGGGAGTGAGAGGGCAGGAATTGAATCATAGTGTGTTGTGGTGAAAGGTTTACTGGGAAACCCGGGTTTGGGTCATGGACTTAATATTGTTTGTGATCATGGGCAACTCACTTCACTTTCTTAAGCCTCCATCTTCTCTTCTGTAAAATTGAACTAATTATGTACCCTATTTGCCTCAGAGTTGTTTGGTTAAACTTAATAAACTTTAAAGAACTATATTCATAGGGCTTATTATTAATTTAGGGTGTAAGAGAGGCCAATGTTGAAATGGTCCACTTTTACTTACAGGGCAGAAATGTGTAAAATCAGAAGGTAAATGATGTCCTGGGAGAATCATGAAGAATCAAGGACCAGCCATCACAGTGAGAGAGAAGACCAGTTTCACTAGGGATGGAGGGGAAGTTTAGGTGTTAGTGTAGCTTACTTCTCCCATAGTCATTTCCATTTTGTTACCAAGGGATGTGCTTAACAATAAGCTGTCAAAGAAAAAAGACAAAAACCCCTCTACTGATGACACACTTTTAAATTTAACTTGCATTGTCAACATTTTTTCCATAATTTCTTAAGTCTAAACAAACAACAAAACAATAAAGTAAACCCTGATTGTAGTGTTTGTTGATTTTCATGGTGTAAATGCTCATAATGAAAATTTAACAATCAGCTTTCCTAAGGCTGTGAGTCCTGGTTCCCACACATCCCTGACATTTTATCTGTTATCCAAAGGCCATTGTGGTTGGCTATTAGGTGATGACTTTTTTTTTTTTTTGGCCACAGAAATTCACAAAAAACTTGTCTACTACAGTATAGGGACATTGTGATTTGCACTGGATAAAAGAAATAATGGATACTTTAAGTACTGAGTTAAGTATCTATGAACTAATTCAGTTATTATTATTATTATTTAACGATTGTATTTGAGAAAAGTGCCATGTATCATAAATTAGAATTAATTATCTTGGCCAAGTGGATATACCAGTTAAATGAGGTGATGTTTTATGAGCATTCTACTTATTATTGAACATTAATTATAAAGCATTACAGGATTGTGTGTGTATGCATGTATAACCACTTGTTGGGGCAAAAAATCCCATTCAGATTATTTTGTTAAATAAATAATAATATTTAGGATAGGAATTGGACAGTGATTTTGGTGGTGCAGGGAACTGTTGGATGAGGAAAAGTTTATTTGAGAATGGAGGTCGGTACTTTCTATGTAAATTATTGTCTTGGAAATTGCCTGAAGCAGAGATGTCACACGTAGGGCCTGTAGACGTATGGCCTACAACACTTTGGAGTGCTACTCAACCAGAATAAAATTTAATTGGGAAATATTTAACAAAATAAGTGAATGTATACTAGAACTCATATGATGATGATAGGTGGTTTTCTAAGTCAATATCTGGCCTGCAGGGATCCTCCTGCCTGGTGTCATAGCCTTGGTTCTATTTGAGTCTGACACAACTGGCTTTGACTATGAGAGTCCAGTGACTCGTCCAGGGTCATATAGCTAATTGTGTTAGAGGCAGGCCTTGATCTTGGGTATTCCTGGCCCTAAGTCCAAATGTTTATCCACAACGCTGTACTGCCCCTCAGCATTACTGGATGTTCGAAAAAATGTTGCAGAATATTACAAAAATAATTATTTGAAGAAGAAAATTATTTGGTGAGTTCTCAGTTTTTATTAACAATTTATTTTCTATATCAACTCTCATATGAATTTTGTTAATTCTATGCATTACTTAGTCTTTTTCTTTGATGTCTTGGTAGTCCAGCTGTAGATTTTGAAAGGGGCAGCTAGGTACTGCAGTGGATAAAGCATTGGGTGTGGAGTCAGGAAGGACTGAGTTCAAATCCAGCCTCAGACACTTAGTAGCCATGTGACCCTGGGCAAGTCACTTAACTGCATTTGCTTCAGTTCCTCATCTATGAAATGGGGACATACTGCAGAAAGCAATGGAAAACCACTCCATTATCTTTGCCAAGAAAACCAAAATAAGATCACAAAGAGTTGGACACGACTGAAATGACTGAATAACAACAAGATTTTGAAAGCAAAATCAAAACATTTGTTTATTTTTCTAGCATGTCATCAGTAGGAGCATAGAAGCATAGATTTAGAGGTAAATTTAAATGTCACCTGGTCTAACT